CACTAAATACATACTAAACATTACTATATATATACTAAAGAGACTACATATAGCCAGATTACTATAAGAAGGGACCGCAACGACTGCTACTACTTGGCCACTGGCAAGACCGCTGCAAGTTACGTCCACCCAGTCAGTGCTTTTGTTTACAGTCGGCTCATTTGTTAATGACTTCATCGCTGTCTCTTGCAAAGGCATCGCCCTGCCTGACGTTCATTTGTTTCGCGACCTCTCAAAGTGAACCCAATGTGGTAACGACTCTATATATTGTTGGTGGCCGGTGGGGGGTCCGAAACCTTGAGGGATCTTCAGTTATTCAGGGGTAGTAAGACACTTTTTATGAATTTAGGATTAATTTTGCTCGCACGCGAGTGTGCGTATATCTAAACCAAGGTAATAGAAAAGTTATTTTCTTGATTGGAGATGAAAATCACAAATCTGTTACTCGTTCTGATTGACACTGTTATAAAACACAAAATTACATAAAAAGTTGTTTCATTTGTTGTGTGATGAATATAATTCTAGATTTAAGCAATTGAAGTTTGGGATATGGTCGTAAAAACTATAGCTTGTAGATTTTCTCTGTTCTCGGTGGTAATGTTGAGTCTTGTTTATAATTTCGTTAGGATCTAGTTCAATACATATTAGTCAGATTGCTTTCAACACATCGAGGACATGCCGTTAGTCTACTGGTATGTTCTTTTCTACCTGTAGTTTTCATTTATTCCATACTTGTTCATTGGGTTTTGTAGCGAATAAACTAGAGTTTTCAGGACGTCATTGTTTCTGCATGAAATTCACGAAGGTTAATTGATAGGTGAATGATTTAATTTGAAGTACTAATTTACCAAGTTGTCAATGAGTTTCCTTCATAAGCGCCGTCATATGCTTTCCGTAAACATATATAAGGCGCAATAGTTTTCTTAGTATGAAACGAAGGACAAATAAATATGTTTGATAAGTATAGATGATTATTTGCTTCTTGTTCTATACACTTGTTTTAGGGTCAAGGTGAAGTCAGGAGATAACCCAGTGGGGTCCAAAGAGGCGGATTGCATACAGTGTCTGAAATGGACGTAAAAGTCTAAAAGCAACTTATCGTTTACTTTGTGATTCTTTTCGATTCTAATCGTATTCATTATCTTGTACTGATGAACTGGAGCTTCTCAAATTTATGCATTCAATTGAAAAAGAGGTTCTTACATCTTCAGACACAGCCTTCTAATTCAACTAAGTTGTCAACGGTAAAAGTTGAACGGATTACGCTGATAATATTGAGAACATCCAGAGAATTTATATTTTAATGAGCTTCGATTATCATGTGGTTCCTCGCAAAGCCATCTTGAAATCAGATCACAATTTTAATTCGAAATACCCACTTGGATCTGTTTTTAGAAGATAAATTTCACTTCATATAAAACAGTCCTGACCCTTGCCATACGTGAATGGCCTATGTGTATAACCCTTGCCAATGACCCTTGATTTGCCTGTTATACAACTACGGTAGAGTGTGTGTCCTAAAAATGTGAGTCAATGATTCTGTGGTTCTCTCTACCACTAAAGGATCTAATCGACACGACATAACAATTTGGTCGGAGGGTCTACCGTCCCAGAAACGGCTTCCGTGAAGGTTGAAGGGAGCGGACCGAGTTTGCGATGTAGAGGGGGTGAAAGAAATAATATTCGTGTAGAAGAGTAATCAAAGAATGTCTAGTGTGTCTTCACATTGTCAAAACACTAAACGAAGTGTTTTATCTCTATAGACTTCTCCCAAATGTTTGTTGAAGACGTACGGTACAGTGGGACCCCTGGATTAGTCACGTGATTCAGACGGTTGACAGGAGTTCTTTCCTCTTCGGCGACATAAGGGGTTGGAGCAAGAAAGGGAATCCGCATGGATATTGCCAAATTATTTGTTACCATAATTATTTAGTTATTATTTTCATTCCTCCGTATTGACCACGGCACCATCCTTCAACCAGGGGAAGGTAAAGGCTAACCTCTTCTGTGATCTACGAAGCGAAGGAGAAGACATGGAGGCTTCTGTTTCGTCCCTTGCCTAAGTAAAAAGATTAGTGAGACACTCATCCATGACCAAATGAATTCGAGTGAAATCTGATGCAGATGAAGATGAGTCGATTGCGAGGGTTGTCATGCAGCCTTCAATCAATTTAGCTGGTATTTGATAGAATGGCGAGGTATTTGTATCTTTTCACTGGTTTGTGGGATCTGTCATTTCATAGCTTCCTTTGGTAGCAACTTAATGTTCTGACCTTCAGTAAAAATTAAATGTACAATAGCACGCTTCTTAATGATTTGAGGGATTTGGTAGGTCTCTCTGACTTTGGGGAAACGCTGTCCATGAATAATACGTCGAAGTTTGAATGTACTTTCAGAATTCCCAGTTTTGATGCTAACAGTTAATTGTGAATGTTACTTTGTGACTTTCCCTATAGTCATGTTCCTATTTTTACCAAAATGAATACAGGTTCGACAAAGACTTGTAAAACGTATACCACTCAAAGTTAAATTCTAGTGTCAATTTTACCAAGTATTGAAAATGAGTTCCCTACAGAATTAGGAAATTAGATTGGGGCAAGGGACCAGACTTACTTCGACTGATGTTTAAAAGAATTCATAAAAAACACATTCATAATAAGGGTATAAGTGACATTTTATAAATTTTAAGAAATGCTTTTTTCAGCATTAAAGCCAAGGCATTTCAATTGGTTATTATAACCACGAAAATTCATTCCACTGAAATATAGCCTAAAATAAATACGTTTTCTCATAATTTATAAAGTGTCCCTTATACCGTTCTAGTTTTCACCCATTCCAATGTTCCGAAATACAGAGACTATCCAGAAACAATATCAACCGAAAAAATGTTTTTGTGTTATTTGTATCTTTTACCTTGTTCGTAGGCACGCCATTGGCCAAAGCTGCATGTAATTTCAGTGTTGTTTTTTTGGTCCTTGTTTGAGTTATTATAGGTTTTTAAAACGTTCATGTAGAAAAATTAGATTTTCATTTAAAAAGTAAAATCAGAACATTAGATTATTACTGATACTTGTACAACTGAAAACTATTCAT